AACAAATCCATGTTTAACCCTCCTCTTGAGGGTCAAAAGGTTATCAGACACTTATTCTTCGCACGTCAGCGGAAAGTACATTGCATGGTCCTTTCAATAAAGTGATAGAAATGGTAGGTCAGCGCTAAAACAAAAAAGTTTTGCACCCGGTCAGTTAGACCATGTCCTCAGAAAATGTTTGATATCTGACCTTTCCCCCACTGTCCTTTGACCTGTGACCTCCAATTTCGCACTGGTGATGGGTTTCCTCCCCATCACACTATACACCGAATATTAAGAGCGTAGGTCAAGCCGTTGAGATTTGTGCCGCAATTCCGTATTTCCTCCTTTACCTTAAGTTAAGGGGGAAATATTCCCCCTCCATTGACACATCTTGACCTTTGACCCTTGACTCCCCAACTTCAACATCCCGAGTTATTTTCGCGATTCCCCCCCCTCCCAATGTCTTGAATATCAAGACCATACGTCGAGCGGTTAAGAATTGTGCCCGACTGTTGACGGGCGCACGGACGGACGCACGCACAGACAATCATGCGATTCTACAAGCTGCATCCGACTTCGTCAGCTGACCTAAACACTATCATCATCACTTTAACTCCGACCATAACCATAATCAAACCTGCTATCATTAAAGATTAGGGTCCTAATGTAGACTTGACCTAGCAGCAATTGCTAGAGCCTACGCAGGTCAATCCTAAAATCAGATGCCTGTATATCCATAGTGGCTAAACGTTAGGTTAGGGTTAAAGCGTGTATATTGCGAGAATTTTCCAGTATTTTCCCCACTTTCATGATACCTACCGTTATTGCTTGAGTAACAGCAATTGTCTAGAGTAACGATAAAATGTCTTAGAACCTTCGTATTCACCAAATCCAATGAAATCATGCACGATTACAATTTTGCGTTCTGTTTCTGTTTACCGTTGCCATCACTCGGACTTTCTCGCGGTAGCGCGAGACATCTATCACGGTGCAGCAAATTAAGCAATGCATATATAGTCGCACTGCAGAAATCAGGTCAGCGTGTAAACACAGACGTTCATACTATCGTAACAGGAGTGTAGTACTAATGCCACGTAAAGTCTGTTATTAGAGAAACTTGTGGATTGCCAGTCAGATAGTAACACGGGAATGACAATGACAGAAAGTGCTCTGAATTATTGACATAAAAATTACCATCAATAATATTTACCAAAAGGTTATCAGGTCATGTTATAACTTCGATGGGGGACACACTCCTGTTATTTGTAGACAGATTAGTTTATTGGCATTTATTGCTTTACTAGCGACTTTGTGACGGTTAACTTTTGAACCTCCTTGATCGTGAGACAATTTATCCACACTCTTAGAAATCTTTTATGCTAAAAGGTGATCGGCTCATGTGTTAACTCTAGTGAGAAACATACTCCTGTTATTTGTAGTCCGATTGGTTTAAATTATCGCAGTGGCTAGAGGTACGGTAGCCGTCGGTCGTTGAAGCCCCTTTTTGGCATTAGGGTTAGGGTTAGGGTTAGGATTAGGATTAGGGTTAGGGTTAGGGTTAGGGTTAGGGTTAGGGTTAGGATTAGGGTTAGGGTTAGGTTTAGGGTTATAGTTAGGGTTAGGGTTAGGGTTCTAGCTCATCTAAACTCTCAAATCGTGAATTTATTTCTCAAGGCGTTATTTCGAAATCTGGCGCCACCGCCGCCATCTTTGTCTCGTTAAGTATGAAAGCGAATGGACTCCCGTACCCGTAGCCTCGAGACATTAAGATACGGCTACCGTACCCGTAGCCACTGCCTTAAATTATTGGTCCAAATAATGATAATGTGATAACTAGTTGGTCGAGAATTTATAGCTAGCTAGCCAGGTTTCCCCCTATCACTGTATCAGCTGCCTTCTCTCCTAAGCATAGCTAAGCAACTAGTGAGTCACTTTAGGTCGCAGGTCGATGGATCCGGCAGCACAAAAGGTCAATTTATGGGACCCCGTGATGCAGACCGGATGACTCGCCTAGGCTAAGGCCAAGCAAACACCTCCTCAATCATCATGAGTCAATGTCTAGAGTGTAAAAACTGTAAACACAGCTTTATAATTACACGTTTAAACGAAATTACGGTCATCCAACAATTACAGAATTGGCACGCCTATAAAGCAGAAGAAACACTTTTCTAATAATTACACTATGGACTATTGTTACACATTCACAACATTGCAACGTAGATCAGTCGCCATTTTGGATCGCATTTTTGCAAATTGTTATCATGCCGCCACGGTTTTATAAATAATGCGATAAGGCTACATGTATAGCCACGCATTCCGTTTTATATAACGAACGCCGCAAATTACGCACTTACAGAGTTACACAAAGCGTGTTATTTTATAATAAAACTCACACTAAACTATTCGAAATCGCTTTCCGTCTTTCTCGACCAGTTCAATGTACGCTTGTAGACTTTCTGGAACATAGATGATCACACCGCGTCTTTTAGTTAATAGATCATCGCATTAATATATACAATTACCCATCTATGGACGTTTGATGGCACCGCCCTCTTTTGGCAATATATGACAAGAAACAAATACACATCATATTATCAGCATCCAGCAATCAACGAGCGATCAAAACGGAGAATGGAGAGTTTCTTGTACTGCTGCTGAGTTCGGTCACTGCATCTGTAGTTGTTAGAAGTTCTACATGCTTTATTACTGGTAAGTTTGTGTTAAAACGTTAATGGCATGTCTCAAATTTGAAAGTTGACCAGTTAATGAGTTCCAGTTAATGCAAACAATGGTCCTCATCCAGTTCCTATTGTTCTACGAGTACGAGTCAATTACAGTCACAGTGTGAGTGTCATTATAGAGTAACCCGACCAGGCTGTGTGACTAACGTCAATACACCTATATATACTATACAATACACCTATATATACGTCTATATATACCTACAATACACCTATATATACAGGGTATCTAACCCTAGCAATACCGTTTCTTGGAGCTAATTATAGAGATGGAGTGTCACAGATGCGTATCTTGTATCTTGGGGTCCCTCTCTTGTATTTCACAAGGCACTGATTCTCTCTTTGGAATGTGCGGGGAAATCCTGTAGATAAGGAAATTCTGTCTACAAGTTAGCATTAATTATTTTACTTTATCTAATTGATAATGCCTTTCTAACATATTCTAGTGCTGGTTTTAGTATTTTCGGTTCATCACTTTTTCAATCTACTACTCGTTCCCCTTTATTATAGGGGCCCTACCCTCTATAGAGGGTTCCGCGATTTGCACTAAAAATAGCAATATTACCTACAATCCTGTGCCGTCGGCCATCTCGGTTCCAAAAAGAGCGAACACGTGTTGCGTTAGACCGAATAATTCTGTCCCATATAACCTTTTTTATATTTTGGTGAGGTTATTGGGACAGAACGGGGTTCGTTGAAATTTCGTGAGATCGCATGCAAAATGCATGCGCTGCGAATGCGGTGTGTACGCCGCTATTGGCAAGCGGAAAAAAACCTACCGTTCCCTTCTACGTGGCTTTACCTTGCTACTGATATGTGTATACATTCACTTCAATCGTTATTCACTTCTTAAAAGATTGTTTTCAGAAATCCTGCTTCATTTAACTTTAGTAAATTACGTTCGCCATTTACAAACAATCAGACCAATCAGAGCGAGTCTATCAGCCCTCCTGCAGCGCCACAGATACAAGCGAGAACCAGGGGCTATTGTAACAGCCTCGTCTGATTGGTCTGATTGTTTGTAAATGGCGAACGTAATTTACTAAAGTTAAATGAAGCAGGATTTCTGAAAAACAATCTTTTAAGAAGTGAATAACGATTGAAGTGAATGTATACACATATCAGTAGCAAGGTAAAGCCACGTAGAAGGGAACGGTAGGTTTTTTTTCGCGCCAATAGCGGCGTACGGACCGCATTCGCAGCTCATGCATTTTGCATGCGATCTCACGAAATTTCAATGAACCCCGTTCTGTCCCAATAACCATCATCAAAATATAAAAAAGGTTATATGGGACAGAATTATTCGGTCTAGTGTTGCGTGTAATCTGCCGATCTGTACAATCAACCGATTTTACATTGGCTATAGTGTTATTATTGCAATAGATATTAGCAGTAAGTGGATCCCAATTTTGGAGACAGGTTTATCAGCTGGGGTTGTGTTAATTGCTAGTTCGATGAGATTGCGCAGGCCCGGTTTTGCAAGCAGGTTTACCATCGTGGGTTTTAGGTGCGAGTTCAATGATGCTGATGCCACACAGTCGCCAGATTCGTAGATTGAGCAGATCGGAAGATTGCACGCAACACATATGTTCATAGACTTGAGTTTGTTTACATCGTGAGAGTTCAGAAATTTCACCGATGTTACTGCATCTACTCTAGCTATCAAACGCTACTTTTTATAATAGCTAGTGTATGCACGTTTGTCGACTGTCTGTAGTGTACGTAGTATGGATAAGTACTTTGATTCACTAGACAACGTAGCCAAAGCACGCTATCTCGAGAAAATTGCGTGCATTGGGAATCGAGACCAGGGGCGGATCCAGAGGGGGGGTCGAGGGGGTCCGGACCCCCCCCTTTTTACCACAAAAAAAGGAAAAAAAAGCATACACACGCATGCACGCACGCACGCACGCACGCGCACACACACACACACACTTCTCTTATATTGTCTCTATAAAAAAATCTTGTTTAGCGTTAGTTTTTCTGATAAAGATTTACTTATATATATGAAAATTCGTTATAAAAACCTAGAAATGGGCAAAGAGGGGTCTGCAGGCGTCCAGGGGACCGGATCTGATACCGAAATTTTTGCATTCTAGACATCAAAATTACTGCTCAGATGCTCTCAGAATGCACCAATTTAAAAAAAAAATTGGGGGGGAGGTCCCCTCGGTGGGAACATTTAAGTGGTCTTCGGGTGTATTGCAATAACATTAACTTTTTATAACATATTCTATCTCTTATTGGTATTATTAAGTGCGTGACATTGACGTTAACATTCGTGATGGCGATGTTGTCCACGCCACAATGTGTCTACAGTGACACGTATGTTAGCTCGGGAATTGCTGGTATCGCTCATCAATAGAGAATAGATACCATATGCAGCCCTTCATGAATACGTTTAGCTCTGATACTATCAGGAGTCTATCAATATCTTGATATCAATATATTGATAGACTCCTGATACTATAATCCCTCGTTTCCACTACCACAGGCCGAGTGGCCACTTGCCTGAGTGAGTATGGCAGTGCCAGTAGCAACTAGGGCTAGAATTAATACGTTGTACAGAAAATCCGCTGAAAATGCACCATGTACTAATACTACTAGTACTACCTAGGTTTGCCATCAGCTAGCACATAGTCCCCTGGCCCTGGTTACAATTTTACCTTTTGAAACAGACATATTTGATGAGTTTTCTCATTTTCAGAAGAAACGGGAAACGGGTGTCTGAAAGTGGAATTTGGATCAAGCTTGGTCGTGGGTTTCGTCTATTGTAACGATGAACGACAGAGAACCACCAGGCAGCATCTGGCAGACCGTGTATCTAGTCGGCAAGGTCTGCCTGAGGTTTGTTTACGTCCTGCTGAACAACCTCTACTGCATCCCAACGTATTTATTATGGATGATTCTGCTGCTTCCATTGAAAAAGGTGAAACCGCAGACGTACTGGATGCTGGAGGGACTATTGTTTCGTTGGCTTCTGCTCATGGTGTCCATGTGGATCCAAACCAACGGCTACAAAAGTAAGTCAAGTTTCCCAGTTTACATCTGGATCTGCTGGTCACAGTCTGTCAACCATTTGGCTGTGTAGTAGCCACATGTCAAAATGATAAACGGAATATATAGTGGAAACAATAATTGGGGGCAGCAACGTTCTACCGCGGGTAGTGCAATTGAATTCGGGCAAAAAGATCTGAGGGTGGTCGTGATAGAGTTCTGCTATGCTCGATGCTGAACTTCATCCATGAGCTAGACACTTCATCCCGATTCACTTCAATTGCCACCGATCGGTTTAGAGTGCGGGACAGACTGAGGTTAACAACCTCACCTGCGTAACAACAAGTATTTTTGCTGGACAAAGCCTGTTACATAATCCAAAGAAACTCAGTTGTAGAGGCCTCTATGCTCTATGAATAGAGTAAATGGGACAATTAAAAAATGATGGAAAACTTCTGTTTGATATGAATAAGTGTTTGAACTTGGGTGGGTACTATAAAGCAACACTTTGCTTATCCTGTAGCACTACAAGTTACAACACCTGCGGCTGTTATGTGATTTCCAGAAATACATTATAGCCATGCTGTAAGATTATTCTGTGCAATAGTTAAGCAATGCAAAATTGCAACTGAGCAGAGAAGTAGCCGTTTAAAAAAAATATAATTTATACTTTCAGTCGTGGAGGTTGGAGAAGACATTTCGTCCTGCTATAACCAGGAGTGCATGGTCATGGTGAATCATCAGTCGTCGTCGGACGTGCCCATGCTCTTTGCATGCTTGTCGGAGAAAGCGGGTGGAAAGCTAGTTGAGGATATGATGTGGTTAATGGACAAGTTGTTTATGTGGACCAACTTTGGTGTTGTATCTCTCATCCACGGAGACTTCTTTATACAGCAGGTTAGAAGTATTTTAGCTCTGAGCTTGTGTGTTCATATATATATACATATTATTTAACAATATTAACAAATATGCACCACCAAGTTTGCCTAATTGCTATAGCTGATACATGTGATAATTTTGACTAATTTAAGTAAATGACTTTTCTGCATATGCACGTAATATTCATTGTGCAGTAGACTTCAGGTTAGGGACCCGAGTAAATTGTGTAAATCTGTGGAGAAATTATCGGTTAAAAAACGTAGTATGTTCTCCCTAATGTTTATGCTTTATCAAACACTGTCACAGGGAAAGCATGGACGAGAGAATCAGCTTCAGTTGCTAGAGAAGCATTTAAATGATGTGTATCTTCCCCAAGGAAGGAAGTGGCTGGTCCTTTTCCCAGAGGGAGGATTTCTAAACAAACGACGAGAGAGAAGTCAGATGTATGTTCCTAAAATAGCGAGGCTATGATCTCTAAAAAAATCTGTCCACCTTTAAATACCGTATCAATGTAATTCTTTATTTATTTTCTTCAGATGATCAATACAAGTCATGTCTTCTAATTAGTTCATATGTTTTGCATCTAAATTTGTCACATTACATCTGTTAGTCATTCTTGCTCAAAGAATCGTAGTTTTGCTTTGCAACTTTGGATGCCGCGCAATGCATGTTCATTATATCCTATCAAAACAGGTTTGCCAAGAAGAATAACCTACCACACTTGGAGTTGGTTGCTCTTCCTCGTGTCGGAGCAATGGCTACAATACTAGACAAACTGGCACCAAGGAAGACAACGGAAAACCATGCCGTGCTGAAATCAACGGAAATGAATGCGGTTCCAGGTGAACTATGTGTTTATAAATTCTCAATCGTCTGTTGTAATGTGATAAATTTTTCATAAATTCATGCCATATCATCGTTAGCTCACTGCTGCTTTGTTATAAATAAGTTTAATAAGTTTATAATTGCACATAATCCGTGATCAAGTCATTCTTCCGTATTATTCATGGATCTGACTATTCGATACCTATTGGATGTCCACTTGAGATTATTCACTATTTCACTGTTATTATGTTTGTGTTATTATAGGTTATTATTCATATTTGTGTGTGCATGTCGTCGTCTGCATGTGTGCGTGTCATCGTATGTGTGTGCGCGTGTCATCGCGTGCATGCGTGCGTGTCATCGTATGTGTGTGCGCGTGTAATCGCGTGCATGCGTGCGTGTCATCATATGCGTGATTGTCATCACATGCGTGCGCACGTGTTGCAGAGAACAAGCGTATGAAGTGGCTGGTCGACATCACGGTTGGTTACTCCAACCCGCAGCAGCCCCTCGATCTGCTGAACGTCTGCCTAGGCATCCAGCCGCCGTGCACGACGACGATGTACTACCGACGTTTCCCCGTAGATGACATACCTCGCGAGATGCACGCGCTCACAGAGTGGATGTACGACAGGTGCGTGCATGGGTGCGACCGTCTGTTTTTAGCTCATCTGACATAGTCAGATGCAGCTTGTAGAATCGCATGATCGTCCGTGCGTCCGTCCGTGCGTCGTGGTCCGTCCGTGCGTCCGTCAACAGTTGGGCACAAACTTTACCGCTCGACGTACGGTCACGATATTCGGGACGTGGGGGGTAATCCGAAAACGAGTTGGGATGTCGAAGCTGGGGGTCAAAGGTCAAAGGTCAAGAGGTGTAAAAGAAGGGGGAACATTCACTCCTTAACTTAAGGTATAGGGAGGAAATACAGAATTGCGGCACAAATCTAAACGGCTCGACCTAGGCTCGTGATAGTCGGTGTATAGCATCATGGTAGGAAAAGCCATCACTGTGCCGAAATTGGAGGTCACAGGTCAAAGGTCAATGGCACAGGGCAGATTTTAGACATTTTCTGAGGACATGGTCTGACGGAGCGATTGAAAAACTTTTTTGTTTCAGCGGTGACCTAGCATTTTTATGGCATTATTGAAAGGACCATGAAATCTACTTTCTGCTGACATGCGAAGAGTAAGTGTCAGATAACCTTTTGACCTTCAAGAGGAGGGTTAAACATGGATTTTTGACTGTCTGTTAGAAAGAATTTGACTGCCGGGTTTGCTAGTAGAATCTATACATGCCTGGATGTATGAGGCTACAATGTCACAGTGAAATTTCAAAGCTAAATTTGGTTAAAGAAGGTTTATGCTCCTTAAATCGTATAATTTCTATGGCATTCTGTACTGTCAGTATGTTACATGTGTACGTATGGCACTCGCCAGTGGCTACTGCCAGTGCATGTGTTTGGTGTTACTGTGGAGTTTTTGCTGCGTTAATTGGTTACAGGTGGCAGCTCTCTATTGCAGCCTGTAGGCTTGCGTAGGTAAATGGATGAGTGCTTACCTATTCTGTCTTGCAGATAGTTGTTGCTACTACGTATGATGGGAGCTTCCATCTTTAATCTGAAGACACTTAAACGTACGCGCATCCATCTCGTGGCAACTTTCATAACGATCCCAACGAACATTCTTTTTGAGAAGGTTCCTAATACCATCCCTGTGCATTCCACTGTTTCGGCGTGTATGTGAACACATTTGGGACTAACAGGGTTTACTAGAATCCCACCACTCCACACAGAGTCACCGCAGTAGACGTTAGATGAGCGCTGTCGCTCTGCGGCACTTGTTTGAGCTTGGTGTGCTCACAAATCGCCATCAGCTAGGGAATATCGCCGAGGTTCAGTCACTCTCCGAACGTATACTATAGTATTTCTATTTACATCATCGTCAACAAGGCTGCTAATAGTAAAACGAGGCATTACTGAGCAGTGGTCTCATGCGTATTTAACCCTGCGGTGGCCATCTTGCCACAGGGGCTCATTCGTGCGCTGAGACGTTTCGCATTCCTTCGTAGGTTCGTCGAGAAGGAGAAACTGCTGAGTCACTTCTACAAGATGGGCGTGTTCCCTAGCAACCCGTCACCGCGCTGCCGCCTCATGGACACGCCGCGCACGATCCGCTACAGCTACCGGCACCTCATCGCGATACACGCGTTCTTCGCTTGCTCCACCTACGTTCACTACTGCGCGATCGCGTGCCTGTGCCGCTACGTCGCCACACACGTGCACTCCTGAGGCGCGGACGCCCGCCCGCGGCCGGCGCACCCTGGCGGCGGGCACGTCGCACCCCGTGAACCGTCTTTCGGTGTTTTCCGGTGTTCCTGAATACTGGTCTGACCGACGGCAGGCTCGATGGGCGAGCATTGGTCCACACGTGCACGTGCGAGTTGCGGTTACGACGATGCCCCCAGTTCACGACACGTTTCACGATTTCGGGCCACGATGCAATGCGCGCCGATACGTATCGCGGTGTTTCACGATACGATACTAAAACAGTCACGATGTGCGACGAGTGGCCGCTCTTGCTGAAATACGTAACGATAACAATCGTCTAGCTAAATGCGGCAACTGTGCACGCGTGTTATGTGCGCGCCTTTCGGGAAACGTCGTTTAATTTCGGGGAAAATAGAATAAGAATCTATGAGGCACATAGTGATTAGATAGTGAATATGGCATCATCAAATTAGCGTGCTCCTTTTACCACATGAAAACATGCACAGCACACCCGCCTCAGATTTTTACAGCCTAACGACGGCATCGAGTGGTCACATAACTTGAATTTTTTGGCTTATTCCGGCATATCGATACTCATGTGAAGCTCTATCATGAATCGTACTGTGGACATCGTGTCGTGATTAATCGTGGCTTGACTAGTGCACGTGTGTGAGCAGACTGATGTTCACAGCAAGTTCTGGCCTGGTGCACCCGCGTGGTGTGCGCGCGTGTGCAATCATGTAGAACATAGCTCTCTTGTGGCTTTTTTGTTTCTAATCCAAGGTCATAAGGTACCACATCGAAGATAAATGGTGTCATTGGACACTTTCGATATTTAGGGTAGAGTATGTAGAATAATGAAAACATTAGAGCGGCATAGCATGTCAAAACGCCCACCTACACTGGCTTCTGTTTGGGTTAAACTAATATTTTGTATTAAGTATACCGGGAGAACTATGTGCTTTGCACTGTGCGTGCATATATCTATTGTCGTGCTTTATTTCTGAGAATAATGGAGCAGAATGTGGCAATAATTAATTCTGAATGGAAGGTCATGTATGGTACATAATACTGTTCTTCTGTTGATCTCCTGAACTGCCTATGCACAAGCGATGGTAGTTATTTAATTGTCGCGTTTGTTAAGTCAAATCATTTTAGTCATATTTTAGTAGTTATATTTTTAAGTATCGCATGCTAACAGCTGCTCTACTGTTGTTGTTTATTTTCTCGAGTGCAGGGCTGAATTTTAAAGTTTGTTGTATGTATAAAATTTCTGATGTTTTTCTAATTTTAGCATACAAGCTATTTAAGAAGTAACCACTCGTGTTGAGATTAAGTTTCGTGTTGGGTAGTTATTTACTATGATGATATATTTCCCTATTGGGAGTTGTAACGACTAAGTCATAATGAGCCCTATGATAATATATACATCAGATAATTGTTAAGTCGCATCCTCCTTATTCAGAGATGTTAGGCGATGAAAGATACCTCTTCTGCCCAACTTGCCTCTTTCTCTCCCTTCTCTTCTTTTTTCCCCTTCTGCTTCCCTCGGCAGCACGTCTGCGGGTTTCTTGAGTTGTGTCCCTAGTTGATATATGACAGATAGTAATGCTGTACGTTAAAATGTGACTGAATCCCTAGATTATATGGAAATACAATGTATTTTAAGGTGCCAGTGTCCCTAGGTGATATAGGACGGCCCTTAGTGCTGACAGTACCCGTGTGTTATTCTTCATCATATATAACACATGCGTTAATTAATGCTGTAAAGTTCTTCATACGTTATCACTAGACCGTGTATGCCAGAAGTATTTATCGCTCAATGTCTCCTTATGTAGTGTACTGACCACATAACCGTTTTACAAGCTTCCAAAGTGGTTGCAGACTTTTATTTTCGAGTAGTTATTGACTGTGCACGCTCTCTAACTGTTGCCACAGCGTGTGTTGAACGCTGCTTACCGTACAGATCACGTATTAGATTAGTAATATTCCATGCTATCTGCATGAACATTTTAACTGGCATGTCAATCATAGACATTTTTTATGCATCACCATAGTCAAACATGGCCTAAATTTATTTGTATTCATTCGATTATGCTGTTATACCGTACCTGCATTAAAATTGCAGTTTTATTATTATTAGCATGGAGTCAGCAAGTGGTGCTTGATAAAAATTCTCAACCTCATTAAACCTGTACTCTGCAACCATGAATGTATCTATACTCTATAGTATAGATATGTTCATGTTATAACGTTCTGATAGTATTGTGCATTTGCACGAATTATGAGCCGTAGCCAATGTTTGTTAGTAATTAATTTTAAGAGAAATAAGATTCTCAAGCTAACTAGGCAAGTGCTACAAATGTAAAGGAGGCTCAGAAATATTGTGTGTGATAATAATTCGATATATCGTTTGGCAAGATGTGATCAGGAGTCTATCAATAAGATGATCACTATTGATAGACTCCTGATGTGATTGTATATTTGGTCGGATAGTAATATATTTATTGTAGTTAGGCGTTGTTGTTGAACAGGTGTCGTGGATCCTGAACGTGGTTGTTATGTGATATTTCCATCCGAGTAATCTTGTTTAGTTGATAAATGTCGACCAGTGTAATGTGAGACATGTAGTGTGTCCGCGTTGAGTTATGTTGATCTACCAACCAATACCGATACCTTTTATTTGAATTAGGAAACCTGGATTGTCCGTTTATAGCATTCTCCTGCCAAACAATGACATGCACAAGTATTACCGATTGAGTTGCTGCTGCCCCACCACACCCTCTCTCTATTACTACCATTTAGCTTCTTCAGTGCATATATATATATACAGAGATGCCAACCACTACGATTTATCCGTATTTTATACGAATTTCGTTTGCATTTTGACCTCTACGACCAATTTGCATACAACTAGGATTTTTATTACGATCGAAAAAATTAATTTTTATGATATTTCAAATGTTTTGTTTCAGTGTTACATTGATATAACATGATTAAAAATAACTACATGTATTTAGCAGCAAATATCAGTGTGAACTTATTATCATTTTGGGTCCCCGAATGCAGGAAATTGCATCTCGGAATCAAGAGAGCAATTTCCGGGGGGCATGCCCCGAAACCACTAATACCCCATTCACACCAGGGCCCCGATCTCACTACGCTCGTACTACGCTCTAAGAGCGTCGTGGAAACGTGTAGAACGCAGTATGAACGTATATAGACGTACTGCGATCGCGATCGAGCGCGGTGCAGTCACCATGAGCGTGGAGAGCGTGGCCAAACTTTGAACATGTTCAAAACAATCGTGGTGCGAGCTTGGCGGAAAGACAGCGCAGTGCGGGCGTATTAGAGACGTGGAAGGCGTAGTACCCACGTAACTCGAGCATAGTACGAACTTAATGATCGTATCGCAAGCGTGTCGGGTGCATGAAAATTGTCGCCCCGTTCTCAGCACGATGTCAATACGTTTTCATCACGCTGTTACTACGTCCATGGAGATGTCTCTGCGACCTGACCACGCTCTCGCTATGACCATGGTGCGTCTCTAGCAAGCTCGACCCGTTCGTACTACGATTGTACTACGCCCAACACACGCTTAGACCACGCCGTTGTGGCGTTCGCATTACGTGTTAGTTGCCTCAATACCACGCTCAGATCACGTCCTGCAAACTTGGGGTATAAATTGGGGTGCTACCCTGGCCACCCCACCAGTTCAGTGTCCACTATGGATGAGGCAACACTATTCCATGCCATGTTTCTCGTAGAAGGACAACTCGAATTACTTGATTGCCAAGCCCTCATCATGCTGAGGAGGATGAGGAGGAGAAATAGAAGTCTTTTGGCGGCATAGTTGTAGCATACTATTATACTATTATGGGTATAAAATCAGTAGAAAATAATCTTGATGTGAACAGCACGGCAGAACGAATGATGATGTCTAGAACGCGGCGCGTCATATATCCATAGATACTAACCCAAGGGTTAGTATCTATGATATATCTATATGGTCGTTGCCAGCGCAGTCGGCGCCTGACTAGAGTGTGATTGGTGCGCAGTTGAGGCGCGGTGAGCGTTGCTTGGGCGCAGTGCAAGCGTCGTTCGAACGCAATGCGATCTGATTGGTCGCAATAAAGACGCAGTGAGCGCAGTGCAAGCGTGATGCGGGCGTGGTGAAAGCTTGTTGAGCGCAATGAGATCGGGGTAAAGACGCACTTAGATCGTAGTATCGACGTAATTAGATCGTGGTATCGGCGCTGGGCCCGGCTGGGGCCCAATTGGCCACGCTCTCAACCACGCTCACCACGCTCGGGCAAATTTTTGGAGCGTGGGGCGATCGTTATGAGCGTAGCTCTGGTGTGAATGGGCCTTAACATACTTTGGTCAGTGCGTGACCCTCGGACTACAGATTTCAGATATCCTCACTACAGTTTGCTCAGAAAAGGGTTGGCATCTCTGTATATATATATATCAAGAGTGGATAATAGAGATTTTGTGGATTAAGTGGATAATAGTGGATAATATAGATCTCTATTATCCACTCTTGATATATATATATATATAGTTGCCCCCCTTTAGGAAAATAAGTTCAGTGAATTCTCACCAGCATGAATTGAATCTGCCCTGATTGAGGGGATAGTCAATTCTGGGTTTATTATAGCAACTCGATTGAAACTAATGAAACGTAAACAATGAGATCGTAAACTTTCACACGTCTATTTCAAGTTAGTTTCACGTACTCATTATTAATGCGCAGTTCCGTCGTGCATGAATAAGTCGTGAAGGTGTGTTTAACATAAGAAGGAAAATTTGTATGTTTTTGCAGAGCAGCCTGGATTCGCACCAGCAGTGTGCAAATGGGCATTTTCTTCTGTTATTAACCAAAATAAAACCGTCGTGCAATAATACCAGTTATTTTCCACGTCTTGCATGGATGATGGTCTGAAGAGGAAACCTATACTGCCAATAAGGATTTATCTACTATCTTCAATACTAGATACATTCCTGGCACTAGGGAGACGTGGAATGTAAGGTGAACGCTCAGTTAGTAGTTTAAGATGTTCTGTCATAGATATATTACAGCATTCTGCTGGAAATCGTAGAGAATATCCTTCTCAACGATCTGTACTTGTAACTAGTCTTCTCTAGTGTGTTTTGAAGTGATGCTTGTTACATGTTACAACATATGTTGATTATTTTCAAGTTCCTCGTCTGAATAATAGTAATGTATATTATCGGGAGTGAATAAAAACAAATTGTGTTTTTATTCGCTCCCGATGTTCTGATGTTATCGTAGATTGCTGTCTTCCTTGAAGACATAGTGTCGGGTGAACGTAGTTGCAGAATTTCTCTTTAAAAATGTGAATGAATCTAGTTGCTCTCTGTACGTGAGTTTCGCCGCTAGCTAAGAATAAACATTGATGAGTCTTGCGTTAACGTAACCGAGGAGAAATGTTATGTAGTGCGATTCACTCTCCGTTTGTGACATTGTATTTTGAAAGTCATTAGAAAATAATGTTTTTGGTCTTCGCTCTTATTTCGTGCCGAAGGAAGAGGAGTTAATTAACAATAATCTCTAGCAAAAGGCGTGTATTCAATGTGAAGAGTCAAGATTCCAAAAGAAATGTCTCAAAATCAAATAAGGAAAGGATAATAAAATTGCCTAATAAAACAGCACTATGTGTACTTTGTGTATTTCATTTATTTGCGTAAATTGTGTTCTGGCTGCTAACCAGAGATGGTGACTATGGGTATTGGCAATAATTGAATCCGTGCCACGACTGCACAGACGACATATAGATTACTGCAATATTTATTGTCAACTAAATGAAGGTGAGTGGAAACAAGTAATGTATGCATGTGGTTACAAGTGTTGAGCATGACTAGCTTATCAACAGCAACCGAATCACCGAAAATAGTTCTCTATTATGGACTCTTGGTATCATAAAGAGAGAAATCGTGTACAATTAAAAACATACCCTGTGATTCCTTTGGGTTTTTTGTATTTCTCATTTAATTTTTGTGAAATTAGTAGATTGATGACAAGTTATGGTATTCATATTTGCTATGAACGCATATTGCTCGACTTGAAAGGTGCAGTTTAGTGTACTATATTATATGCAACGAAAGCAGCCAGCACTCGTTACATTTTAACACTATTGCCTGAATACTCCAGCGTCTGAAGAAAATGTGAAAAGTTTCTTCATTTCTTTTTCATATTTTTAAATATATTTGCTAAACTAACATGCTGTATCAGCAAATTGCAACACTGCAGTCAGCGGTGAATGCCAGTAATAACATGGAGAGAAACGGTGACAAGAGCATTAATGCAAAAAAAAGTTCGCTTTAATTTACAAAAAACCTCTTCACAGAGTCGCCACCGTGCATCCGTGTTCACAATGCCACACCAATCAGCACTGCATTTTGCTCTTCATTCTCTTCTCCTCATCACTGAACTTTATTATGTCGAATGGCAGGCAACTGTTCATTGCATTCACGGCACACCATTCAGCACCGTTTTCATCTACACACGTTTGATTCAGCTTGTGACGAACGTCCAACACTACAGTACTGTTGCCATTTTACATCTTAGTACCCACTCCTTTCCTCGTACTCTGTCGAACAAGCTAAACGTCATACAGCACCGTTTATCTTCAACACTTTTCATAGACTTCCTCGTGTTGAACGATACGTACGTTCTTATACGTATACATATCGTATACATTATACAGGACCGTAGCACACTTCACCCCCGCGTGCAAAGCCAAGTGCAGTTTACGTCGTGGGCAACTGACCATGGGCAGTTCACCGCTGTTACTCCCCCCAACCCTGCTAGCTACGGCCCTGCAATGTGATATATCACACACAAACACACACACACCTCACACCTTGTTGAGCTTCGTTACAATGAGGATGCGTAGCGTCTGGTCGAACGCCGTGCAGGCGGCGAGGCCTGGCTTGTCGACGCACCAGTCGAAGGCTGAGATCGGCTGGGTGGTGAGCGCGGTGTTCTGCAGCTGAGTGACGCTGCCGACGACGCCCACCTCCTCCTCCTCGCCCTCCTGCTTCTCCACCCTGCTCGCTGGATACGAACTGAAAGAGAGTGTGCGGCGGAGAACCGCCACCGGTCAGTTATCGCGCGTTTATCATGATCGCGGCACAACCTGTGACCTGCTGGACCCTCGTGAGAGCTACCTAGTTTACTAGTAATTAGTTATTCTGCCGAACGTAACTGAAATGCACTCAAAACCCCTTGAATTGAAAATCGGCATATTTAGAACCTCATTACTAGAAGACACCTAGTTTACTAGTAATCAGTTACATTGGCGAACGCAATTAAAATGCACACGAAAATCCCCTTGAATTGAAAATCAGCATTACAGAATCATTTTGTCTTTGTAATGTAACCTGTGGCTATCGTGAAAATCATCCAGCTGAACAAAATTGAATTGTCCGTTAAAAATCCTACCGATTGGAAAACCTTGACTCAACTATTTCTGCTTCGCCACAAAACCGCTAACTTACTCAATACGTGAAAATGGTTCCGATTCGTTTTCATTTGTTAGATATTTGAAGATATTCAACGTGGGCACTTGACTGCTGTTACTGTACTGTGTGTGTGTGCGGGTACGCACGTGCGTGCGTGCGTGGGAAGCCATCCAGAACAATAAAGGTGTAGTTACTCTTCCAGATTTTATTCCCCACACACACGACAGGCACATCTGCGTCGCTTGGTCTTACAATATCCTCTCGTCGTTCACACGTGTACCAGTGACGTAGGGGTTTCTTTTCCATAGTGGATCCGATCTAGCAACTTACTATTTCCAGAGGCAAATACTGCCGTTTCCTCCCGTTGTCATGAAGATGTCTCTATTCTGTGGTAGATGGCGCACGGACCAGACCGTGCTTGAGTGAGCCTGGAAGATTGTACATTTCATGGGTTTGAATATAGAAGGTAGGTTTAAACACAAAATATATTTGTGGCATTGTGTTTCTCGTCACGGTTGCAGTTAAACAAGACTATGGATCTTCAGGTGTGACGCAGATTGTCACAGGAATTGAAAGTAATTGTAAGTCGTTGTAATAGTAGTGTCCATCTACAATTATCATTGTAGATGGTACATACTAAATCTAATTAATTATTAATATTTAACAGAATCAAATATTGATTCATCTTAGGCAACTAACATGATGAGTTAGGAATGTAGAAAATGCTTGTATGTGTCTAGTGTCTACCTTTTCTTCAAGTGATGTAAATCCTTTCTTTGAATGTTGTGTACGCATATCATAGACGTGGAATTTCGACTCTAGCGTTGTCACCACCAATTTGTTCATATTGATGTCCTTTCTGTCAAACTCCAGGCCACAAATCTGAAAGGATTAGTTTAGCAAGAAACAGCTTACCCACAAGCTTATATTCATCTAGTTATCTATCATCAAAGAATCTCTGAAAGAAGATCTGAAGTTTCAAGATTCTTATCAATTATATAGTCAAACATAACTAAAAGACTGGGCAGTAACATTTCAAATATGTCCTGAATTGCCAAAAACAAAGCTAAAAATACTATGCAAATAAATCACAGAGCATGTTACGTGTGCATCTGTACATGCATGGTGTGTGTGCATGCATGAGAGATGGAGACAAAGAGAGATTGACAGACATTCAAAGAAAGAGAGAGAGGGAGAGAGAGACAGAGGAGGAGATATAAACAGCTATTTAGTAGCACATACTCCGTTCTTAATATTTGTCTCCCATCTCAACGACATTGAGCGTAGATCAAAAAGTTTCAAGTCTCCATTATCATAGCCTGCAGCAACGCATCTGTCTTGGTGGTTATAGGCATGACCTGCAAAAACATATTTAATTCAAAATAAAAATTCCACTCACCTGCTTAGCTACAGATCATTACACCGGACACCACAATTTAATCAATACTTATTACTAGGTCGATGCTCTCAAGCCCTTATAATTTTCCATTCCTCGCACATTTTTGTAGAATTAAATTATATTTGGACGTATTCGATTTTAATAATCTTCAATAATTGTGACTATGGGCCTTGACCACTGATCCCTTTCACCAACATTTGAGTTTGTTCACATTCTCATTTCCTGCCTAATAGTTAAATCTGATGAAAGTACGCACGGACATCGCTGAAATAAGCCTCTGAAGGTATAATATTCGTATTTTACCAAAAGTGACTGCCCAGCAATCTCTCCTCGCCTCTCCCTCCGCAGGCGCAATCTCCACTACTGGCTTGCCTTTCAACCGGGTATCCCACACTTTGACTGCACCTAGAATGAACACACATATAATGCAACGTGCTACATTATTTGCTTAATTTCCATTAAATATTATTTTAGTATTGATAGATGAATCGCCTATTTGTTAAATGAGCCGCAGATGCGTTGGGTATCTGGGTCTTTTGTACGTTTAAGTAACGTTTCAGTCGTGGTGGTGAACCTTTTGTTAGTTGCATATATGCAATGGCAGTTCTACACTCATTTCGACTTTGATTTGATACTCCAATCCTTGGTTGATAAATGTGTGCCGGAACTCCTGTTTTATGGATGCATTGTGACCTAACTAACCCTAACTTTAAAAATAGATGATTGTGTAATTTATTTTTGTTGTTATTAATTGTTGTAATTAATCATTAAATATTGCAAATTAATTGAGAAAATAGTTAATGGATAAAGCATAGAAAAATACAGAAACATGGTATATAATAAAATCGATGGGATTCGGTCCAACGACCTTTAGCCGTGCGTTGTGTGTACCGTGCGGCTATCAGGCTTATTGGGTTTCTAGATTATGGACTGTGCATTGAATTGAAAACTGTGACGTCATTGAGGCAGTTCGGAATCCATGTTCAACCCTCCTCTTGAGGCTGTCATGAAGGTTATCGACATTATCTGTCGCCGGTCAGTGGAAGCACATTTCATGGTCTTTCTAATGTGATTAAAATGGTGTCAGCGTCAGTTGCTGAAACAAAAGTTTTCACTAGCTGTCCATTAGGCATGTCCTCAGAAGATGTCTGATATCTGGCCTTTCCCCACTACCCTTTGAGCTGTGACCTCGCATTTTCGCACTCGGTGAGGGGTTTCTGGCCATAACATATACACGAATATTAGAGCATTGTCAGCGTTCAATTTGCTGCGGCATTCGTATTTCTCTATACTTGTTTATACCATAAGGGGAATATTCCCTCCGTCTGCTTACCTTTGACTTTTGACCTGACACCCAAATTTGTGTCCTGGGTCTTGTACGGTCCCCCCCGCGTCGCGCATATCAGGACCGTTACGTCGAGGGTTAATTGTGACTAATTGTTGGAGCATGACGCCGTCATTGATTTCAAGCTGCGTAGTATACTAAGATACACCATGCTATCCTGACATCCCCCATGATTCCCTATTTACCACATACTATTCCTTATTCCATACATGCTATACTTACTTCACACATGCTGTCCCTATATACCAACATGCCGTATCCTATATACACATGCTATCCTATATTACAATGCTATCCCTATTATACCCAATGCTATCCCTATGATACCACAGATGCTCTATCCTAGTATACCACACTGCTTCCTATATACCAATCTATCTTTACATCACAATGCTATCCTATATCAACATGTTCCTAATATACCAACATGCTGCCCTTATACCACACATGCTACTTCCTATTACCACACATGCTATCCCTATATACCACACATGCTATCCCTATATACCACACATGTATCCCTATTATACGAATGTATACCATACCACACATGTATCCTTATACACACATGCTTCCCTATTTACCACACTGCTATCCTCTTTACACAATGCGATCCGTATTTACCAAATGTTCATTACGTAAATAATAATAACACTTATCCTATATCCACACGGCTATCCTTTATACCAAATGCTATCCCTATATACCACACTGCTTATCTATATCCAACATTGCTATCCCTATATACCACACATGCTATCCCTATATACCACACATGCTATCCCTATATACCACACATGCTATCCCTATATACCACACATGCTATCCTTACATACACCTCACATGTTCACCGCATGACCACGTACCATCCCTGCTTCCTGTGACGATTTCAGGTGCGCCCTCACCAATGCCCAGGCCTGCCACACCGTCGATACTGTTGATTATTTCTTTGTGAGCTTGCACTGAATAAACTGGCACTTCGGTGTTTTCGAGATTCCTGAAATTATTGCAAGACAGTAATGTTCGATTTTAGGATATGTATGATATCCCTACAGAAAACTTACAAGGTGGGTGTCCCTACTGGCAGTGACAACCTAGTACCTGTTCCACTTAATGGTTAGATAAGTTCTAGGCTGAATTCGAGCAAGAAAGGGATTAGAAAAAAAGTATAACAACACTGCATGCTGTACAGGGGTGCACTTATATTGGATGAAATTGGATCAAATTAGGTGCAGTGTGTTACCAGCAATTTTCTGAGCAGTGCAATACAGGACATGCCCCTGTTAATGCTTATAGAATGTTTTAAGTAGCATACCAGACATTTAGTTTGCCTTCAAAGTCTCCTGTCGCAAGGCACCGCTGATGCAGCTGGCTGGCACCGAATGACCCGCATTTAATCGCTTTGCTTTTCTGAGACTGAAACAGAAAGTATTATTTCATTACGCGCATTGTTTTTTGCCGGTAATATTGATATTCAAAATTATTAACACATTCAATTATGTAAGTTGTAACGGGGGACTGCCACCCTGAGGCGGAGTAGTGCGTGACTGTGACACACGAGACGAGTCACGACTCGTGTCACGACACAACTTGTAATAACTTTGACTATACTAAGTTAATGAAAGATGAGGTACCTTACCTCATGTACCAGTGATACATCCCCTTTGTTCATTTCATAGACTTGCAGCGCCCCTGTCCCTTGTGGATGGGCTCCCATTACAACGAATTTGGCACTACATGGAATCCATTTAACATCATACAAAGTAAAATTCATAGACTTCTCTATATGCGAAATAACTTGCGGTTTATCCATGGCGCAAAATTTTTCGCGAAATGTGTCTTGAATTACTTTATGAATTGAGTAAACAAATATATGTACACACAGGTCACTGTGATATATAATTATAAATATAAATCATATCACACACGTTGACTGAGGTCGCTTTGGA